TAACCCTAAGAGAAGTTACATCCTATATTTGTCCTCATTGTTCTTACTAGAAGACCATATGTGACACCCCCTTATATTAGGGTTTGGACTTTGAACAATTGCCCTCTATTCAAACCACATGATTTCTGTTTTTATTTAAGTAGAGCTGTAAGCAAATTAAGACATGTAAGATGGCCAAAGAGACAAAGATGATGTAATGTTAATACATGACCAGCAAGATTATTGCTGTCTAATTGCCTCCACGCAACCTTTTGAAAATGAACATTCTATTGATGTTGTACTTATGAGTCATCATCGATTCGTTAAGATTATCAGAAAAACTCTTATGTAATGGGGATACGTTCCATGTACTCTCTCTATCTTACGTAGTACTTTATAAGTTAAATGATAAGTATAAAAAGATACATAAAAGATACATCGCTAGAACAGGAAAAATATTTCTTCAATGTTGTTAGGTTATGAAGGTCGAACTACTACAATTAGGATTATGTTTATATGGAGGCTTAATGTAAGTAATTAACGTTTCATTTTTAATTGCAATTTGATCATCTTCTTATGCTTTGGATCAATGACACAATCATGCTGGATTCTTTAGGAACGTTGGTGAAGTTGTGTTGTAGTCTTCTGCTTCTAGATTGATAATTGGAACAAGGAAAACTGAAGCAATCACCCCTACACGTGCACTTGGCCCCCTATGCTACTTGGGTGTCGGATTTGACTGGTCAATCGTACACAGGTCAGCATCATTTTTTTACATCTTATATACAGCCTAAAAATAAGCAAGTTTTTTCCAGCAAAAATAAAAGAAGCAAGTTGGCCTATAACAAGATTATAACATAAAATAAAAAAAGAAAAACTATTGAATTAATTATTCACAATTAAAAAAGAGGAATTCATACAAAAGAAGACATGGATCTGTTTTTGGAGAAGAAATGAAATGTGCATATAATCACCAACTAATTAACCATCATTTTTCATATTAATTTTATGAGTAGGGGTTAACAATTTTATGCGCAAATAGAAGAACCAGTTACATAATTTTTTATTTTTATTTTTTCCTATCCTACAAACCCTACTCAGAATCTTCGCTCAAAGTTTCTTTCTTCCTCCTAGTTGAAGAAAAATACTCTAAAACTCTCTTTAAAGTACAATAAGGTTTTCATCTAAGAGCATCCTTTATTATATTTCAAAGCCCAAATATATTATGTTAGACAGAAGAGTTTATGATGCTTTATTTTGGTAGAATATATAATTACTAATAGGGACATAAGAACTTTTACCTATAACATTTGTCAATCTTATCAAACAATTAATTAATTAAGGAAATAGTTCAAACTTTTTTCTAACAATTAAAGACACAGTCCATGTGGATAAGTTTGCAAGAAAGAGATCATCTCCGAATCCCTTTTACCAAGTTCTAGGGATCCATCAATCCGGGCTTTTAAAATTTGATCAAACAGTTAAAATTATTATAACCTTTAAAGTGAACCTATATTTGTAACCGTTTGATCAAATTTCAAGGATCCAAATTGTTGGATCCCTAAAACTTGGTGGAAGGAATCAAGAGAGGATCGCTTTCCAAGTTTGCAAGTCATGTAGCAACAATTGAGCTATATTTTTAATGAGTTTTATCATTAGTAAGGATAAATTCGCTACAAGGTTTGGAGAAAGTTAAAGTTTTGCAAAAGGCCTATATGTATATGTCAAACAACTTTCTTTTAATCTAATAACTTCACTAACTAATCACTACAGAGTGACTTAGTGGTTTGTGATGAAATCCAGGCCCATATATCACATAGCACGTCCTTCGTTCGATTCCTAAGACTAGTGAATTGCACGATGATGGCCAGGAAGAGATTGAAAGCCTTTGTGAATCTTCTCGATTCCGAAAGGATAGACCATTGTGGCAAAGACACCAGCTAACCTCCTTTAATAAAATAAAAAAATAACTTTACTAATTAATTAATTATAATATCTTCTTGTCTCCAAGACTATTCCTCCCTTTCCATTCTTTAAGTGGCCAACAATTACACATGGCTCTTATTTTAAGATTTACGGTTTATACCAGCTCAATAAGCCCCTTCGTTTATAAATTCGCCAATCTGGTTTATACCAGCTCAATAAGCCCCTTCGTTCATATAAGCTCAACTGTGCAGTACTAGTTCCAACTTGTAATTTATAAATTCGACCAGAAAAACAAACTTGTAATCTATAATTAAATTAAAAACTTCAATTTCATCAACCAAAGTAAATTTAAAATTTTAATTCTTGCTACATAAATGAAAGAACTAGCTTAACTTATGATTACCATTTGATTAGTTGGGGTGTGGGACCTCGATTAGAGCACCATTAGTTGTGCAAATGTCTGAATATTGGTGCTTAAGTTGAGTTAATGACATTAGCACACTACTACTTTCTCGACAAGTCGTGACATGAAATGCTAGAAAGGCAAAATTGTCCCTCTTCCTCTCACCTCCTGAAGTGTTTGTATTCCAATGGCACTATCTTTTGTTTCATTCATTTGTACAATATATTCTTCTTTTTCTATACCTTTATTGCCTCCTTTAAACTTTAAACATTGATTATCTGTACTTGATGAGTATTAGTATCCCCACAAGTACAGATTAACATTGTAATCCTCCATTGAATCGACCATTGTCGGTCTGATCTATGCCATTCTGCATTATTTAGTTAGTAATCTGTCCGTTGCTCCTATTTAAAAACTCAAGGACTCTTGCCTGGTTCCATAAGCTAACTAACAAGTGGATTTCAATAACAGATCAAGGGTTACAAATGTTCATTATCTTTCTATATTGTAATTCAACTTTTCAGCTTTAGTCTGTAGTTGGCGCAGATTGAGTTGTCGCACATACATAAATCCTTAATGTAAAGATAATTAATAAGATAGATATATTCTCTTCCGTTATATTATGTTCTCAATCTGTCCAATATTTAGAACCATCTATATGATGTTTTAAGTTACACCATACTTTTAGATTGTTATTTTTTGTTAACTGCTTATATCAATGTGAATCAGGACATGGGGAGGATCAGCTGGTTCATGAACCTTCTCTAATATTGTAGAAAGATGAAATGTGATGATTAATCAATTGTTCAATGGAATCCCAAATCCATTGCCAGCAGCCAGCATTTCTAGTTCATGCAATGTAGTATATAGTTTATGCCATTTGGCCTGCCATTGAAGTTAATTGATTTACAAATTTAGCAGGAAAAAAACAAAGAAGGGATCCAATCAAATATAAAAGAAAATGAAGGGGTGTGGCTTAAATAAAAATAGAAGATTAGGCAATTTTAGCTTCTCAGAGTAGGATGTGAAAAACGTCTACCCTCAACAAAAAACATAGTCCTACACACTTAAGGAGCCCACCGCCCGTCCTTCCATTTCAAATTTATTAAAAAAAGAAAAATAATACAAACGAAGATCAGAGGGTGAACCGTACCCTCGCAGAAAATTTATGCTTGGTGAGCCAATACAGAGAAAATTTGACAAACGTATTAGTGCTAAATGTTATAAAAGAAAAATGAAGACCAACCAACATTCTCTCAACAAAAAGCAACCGAACTAGCAAAACCTGTAATTAGGTCGCGAAGAAAGGTTGTGAACATAAGCCAAAGCTGCACACCGGGTGGGGGCGCGAATCCCAAAATAAACTCACATAATGATTCACACCGAAGTTGGTCAAATTATCAGCAACTTGATGTTCCTCTCGAAAAAATGAGTGACACAGAACATGCATGCGAGAGAGAGAGAAGAGTTAGACAATTAACCCAGCGAATCCGTAGACGCCATGGAATCCTATCACAAGGAGAAGGCAGAAAAATACTGTTAAAGAAGGGTCACATTCAATTCACAACTTTGTCAACCTTTGCCCAGGCCAAATCCTCAGCATGAATAACCGCATACAACGCCACTTCAAAAAAAGAAGCAATTCCAATACAAGTCGCCAAACAACCTAAGCAACAACCAAAGTGATCTCAGAAAATACCCCCAATTCCTGCCAAATTAACCAGGAGCACTACAAGCCGCACCATGAAATAGGAATAGGTAACCATAAAACCTCAAGAATACCCCCTTAACCCCAATGACACGAAGAATACAATGTTCTGATACTATGTGTCGCATGGAAGTTGTGCTAAGGGGTGTGGCTTAAATGTTATGTAGCTCTCAGGTGTGTTAGTCGTTAAATTTAATTTCCACAACCCAAGATTTTTATTTTTAATTTTAATTATTGATTTCTTGTACTACTCAGTATAAAGTACAATTAAAGAAAAATTGTGAATGAAGATATATATGGGTTTGGTTTGTGAAAGCTGATAGGCTCTTTTGTCATTTAAGGAATCTTATTTGAGAGCATGAAAATTTATAGGGGTGTATTCAATTAGGATTTTGAGAGATTTTAATTCTTTTAATGAATCTAGGAGTATTTAATCAGAATTTTAAGTGATTCTCTAAAATTCAATGTGTATTCAATCAGGATTTTAAGATATTTTATTAAAATCCTTATAAATCTGGGTGTATTCAATTAGAATTTTAAAGAGGTTTATAACATTTAAGGTGTATTCAATTAGAATGTGATTTTAAAGAGTTTGAAAAAATTGAGGAATTAGAGGGAATTGATGAGATTTCGTAGTGTATTTTAAGCATCTACAAATCTCATCTCTCCCCATGAGATTTCGAGGGAATTGAATTAAAATTTTACATGTAATTTCTATAAATTAATTAGACTCCATAAAAACCCATGAATTTATAAATCCATTGAAATCTCTCAAATTTCCAATTGAATACATCCCCATTAGTATTGTCTGGCGAGAGAATTGAAAGAATAATCGTGAAGCGTTGTAGCCCATAAAGGAAACCTATTCTAATTAAATATTCATTGTAATATGATTAACACTGCCCCCACTCTCTAACTTTCTAAGTTCTCACAGTATTTATAAGCGTGGAGTGATGCTATGCGCATAGCAGAAATTAAGAGTTAAACACATTCTAATTCAAGCATAAACCAGATTAATTAAACTCTCTTAAAACATCATTTAGTATGACAGGTTCTGGTTCTCCTTGTGGAGCCTGCAAGTTCTTGAGAAGAAAATGTATTAGGGGTTGCATTTTTGCACCTTACTTCTGCCATGAACAAGGCGCCACCCACTTCGCGGCCATCCACAAGGTTTTCGGGGCAAGCAATGTGGCGAAATTGCTTGCTCAACTCCCCTTGAGTGATCGATGCAGAGCCGCGCTTACAATCTCATACGAAGCTCAAGCTAGGGTTCAAGATCCTATTTATGGCTGTGTTTCCCATATTTTTTCTCTCCAACAACAGGTTAGTTTAATTAATTAACTACTTAATCATTGGAACTATATCCCCTAATTAATTAACTTCTACTTCATTAATTTCAATAGATCGTGATGATTAATCTTATTTTTTGACTCTTGCAGGTTATCAGTTTAGAAGCACAACTAGCTTCAGTCAAGGAACAAGCAGCTAAAGGCTACTCCAGCAGTAACTTCCAAGGTTGGCATCAGTCGGAAAATTCCAACATACTGATGCCACAAAGTGTGATTAATGAATCAATGACACCATTATACTCCGGAAACAAGAATCCTAACTCTTTCGGGGCAAACGCAAATTTCATGATTCCAGAAGTACTTGATGACATGTACGGAGATCCTTCTAATTCCATGTGCTCATTAGACATGCAGATGAGCAATATGTCATGGGGTTTTGATCAAGATCATGACTGACGACGGATCGTGAACTTCAGTCATCAGCAGCACTCGCCGGAATATTAATTAATGCAACAAATGTGAAGAGGGTTTTGCAAATTTTTATTGAGACATAAGCTAGCTGACTAAGAACCCTAGGAGTGCTCATACAGCACTCACAAATATTTTTTCTAAAACATGCTGTACGGTATTTTTCTCACCCTAATAATGTGATATGGCCAGTACTATATGTATGTCCTTAGCGGTTTTCAGGGTCCAATGAAGATCAAGGCATTGTTCTAATTATACCATCCCTATATTTCTCCATCTGCTTTCATGTTGTATTTGTTGGAGAATAGGATCTCATGACATCAGTCATATGACAAAATATATAATATACAATTAATCTATTCCACCTGCAATATATCATCCAGGTCTTTTGTGATAAAACCAAACATCAAGTAATAAGTGATTAAGTTAGAACAATATCGATAACGTTGGTGGTGAACCACCTATAAGTTTATCAATATATAATTAGTTAATGGTAATTCCAAATAGAATCCAATTTTCAATAATGAAGTAGGTGCTGATTAATATATCCATGAGACCTTGCTTCTCTTAACTCAAGTCTCTCAACGATTAAAGATCGAGCTCCCCCACCATCACTCACCCTTTGATAGGTATGTTGAAGCGACATTAGGCTGTATTCATGGCCTAGGCCAACCCTAGGCGCATAATATATATAGCATCCAAGGTTAATGACAAATAATTGTCTAGGCGTTGGAAAATTTTGCAGCACCAACTAATTCAACTCGAACAATCGTACATGTGAGTCCCATTATGATATAAACCTAATTCCTCTTGACTTTAGAAAAAGTTACTTGTGAATGCGTTGCATTACAAGTGAGATGCCAAGATAAAAGGAACAAAGGGGTATAATGGACAAGGAATTAATAACATAAAATCATCTGCATCTATTGTCAATTGATTTTGAGTTGGATATTCTGATTATACCATTTTACCACATTATGCAATTAAGTCACGAATTTTCATGTAAATTGGGTGTATACACCCTTTTTCAGGCTTCTCTATATTTTGATCCTTACCTCACTTAAGTGTCATAAAGGCCAATTCCACAAGTAGCATTAAAAAAAATGTTTCACTTTAAAGTTAAGTAGTAAAACGTTTTCTCATTTAGTACTATAGTCTAGTGGTATTCCTATTCACTAGGAAGTGAGAGCTCTTAGATTCGAATCTCGTGGATGGTGAATTCGATACCAAATTAGGTTGCCCATTATATGGCTTAGCCGAACTCCCCCTTTTCTTAGTGTACAAAATATCGATGTACTAAAAATTAAGAGCAGTAACACCACTGCAAGTACCACCATCACCATCACAATCACACCATCAGTGCCACCAAGCCCCCCTTCCCCCCACAAAAACCATTACCATAAATGCAAGTCCTTTTACTAAACTGATTAATACATAACTATTTGACATCATGTTCATTTTAGACATTTCAGGCAGCTACAAAAGTTCTACATCAAATTTACTAAATGATGTGACACTATTTTTCATATTCACATAACTTTTGAAATACAATTTGCTAAATGCTTAACTATATTTTTAACTTTACAAACTTATTAATTTCAAAACCCAAGTAGTTTTATAAAATATAAAAAATAAAAACTACAACAATACCGAATTGACCCTTAGTCTTATTGTGATGGGAACTTTAGAACTGTAAATACAACTACAATGAACACATCTAGTCAGTGTGGGGAAGAGAAGTGAATTTAATAGAAAGAAATCCTTAAGGTTTTCAAGGTTCAATATAGTCAAGGCCAAAGGGAATAATCCAGAGAAAGAATCATGTTAAGATCCGTCAAAGTTCAAACTAAGCTTGACCCCATGGTCCCTTGCTAAACTCACAAGTTACAATTAAAACAACGTTTTGTAGGACCTTATTATCTCCTAACATAATTACTGCCATAGGCTAATTAGTTGGTCAAAAGATCTTCCAAATGACGCAATCAAGTTAACTTTCTGTATATGTATCTTTAGATTCATCTAATCTGTTGGTTTCTCCCAGGTTGTATCCACCTGTGATTAGCTTCCTTAGTAGCCCAAGTCATTGAAAAGGCTCTCCGTCGTGATCACCACTTTATTTTATCACCACCATATATATTTTATTTTATTTTTATTTTTATTTTTATAGACAGAAACAAACCCATCCTCCTCATAATCTTCTCTGCTGTCAATAACCATTGAATGAAACGACAACGTAGAGTACTGTTTCTACTTAACTCATTGTATAATATATATTTCATGGCTCATCCCTTATAACACGTTGGACTTTGAATGATTGCCCCCTATTCCAACTACAATTAATTTTAATATAAACTCAAAGTTAATTACCCCTAAAGCATTATATAATTTTTGTGTGTGTGTGTATATATATATATATTCTTAATTAATTTAAATTCTTGTTTTGAAGCTTTGGACGTAATTTTGCTTCTCAACCATCAAACAAGAGTACTGTTTTCATATGTCAGATACATCTCAATAATCCAAAGAAATATGACTTCTTAATCAATTATATATATAGTTAATTAATTAATAATATATGAAGTTAAGTATTTATTGTGGTTCTTTTTTTTAGTTGAATTTAACATGGTTCTTTGAGTTCCGACTTCGATGTAAGTAGAAGATATTTGATTGCAGAAAACCATGTAAGGGATGAACTACAATTGTATGTTATTATGACTTTACTATTTACCACCCAAAACCTCTCAACCTTCCACCACGTTTCCTACCAGACCATCTATGGAAGTTGCAGCTGAACTCACTAATTTGGTTTCATTATCTTTCAAGTTTATTTGTTTTTGAAAATATCGATGAGAGGTTAAAATACACGGTAAGTTCATTTGATAAAATATTGGGTATATTTGAAGTTATATATGTTTCATTAAATATGATTTTTTGAGTTCTAATACATCCCAAATATTTGAAGTTAAGTATGAACACGGTTTGTTTGTTGTTGTTCAATTTAACATGGTTCTTTGAGTTCCAATTTTGACGTAAGTAGAAGATATTTAATTGCAAGATGTCATAGTAAGTGACGAGCAATTGTATGTTATTCTGACTTCGACGATTTTTGTGGTTTTGACAAACATATTGTATTTCAGTTTCATTTTAATTCATACTAAACGTTATTGATCATGAGACCTTTCTTCCTCACACTCATATCCTAAACGTTCCTCATCATTGGATTGTCAATTGGGCATTGCCAACCCAGTAAAATCGGGTTAACTATCTCCCATCTCCTCGAGACCTTTTGCTCGTTGATGCAATGCAAGACAATAAATATGGTCCCTATATTAAACATGTTTGTCGGTGGCTTCATCTTTCAAAGTCATATTTTTTAATTAGATGCTTAGTAACTATAATCTTAGTATTAATTAAGTATCTATCATGGCAGTGTATTGTGATTTCTCTATTTAAAGACTACATATGTATGTTTAAGGTAGAATGAAAATAAGATATTTGCCTTGTGCAGTTGAAGTCAATATTTTCTCTTTCTAAAATCAAGCGTTTGACTTAGTCGTATTGAGTCACTACTAAGAAAAACAGTTTGGGCGACAAAGGGGAAAGCGATGCACAAAGGCCAATACCATCCCCGGAAACATTGGGCGGCGAAGAGAGCGTCGTGCAAAGCTCGTGACATCAGTCATTGCGCGATGCAGGAAAGGTCTTTGTTGCACAAAATGAAGATTGCATTGAGAAATTGGTGGTCGTTGCGTGTACCAAGCAACGAAACTAGGGTTTGACCCCCAAACTCTTACGCGATGGACGTAGATGTTCGACCCCTAAACTCTTGCGCGACGAACATAGAGGTTCGACCCACAAAATCTTGCGCGACAGATATAGAGTCTGTCGCAGTAAGATTTTAAAATTAGTTTTTTAAAATAATTTATTTATTTTTTCCTTTTAATTGTTGCTAATATTGTTTTATGTGAACATTAATTTAATGAAATTAAAAATAGAAAAATGTAAGAAGAATATTGAATTAAAAAATTATTGAAAATGTACATACAATGGAAAAAAGTATTTTTAAATTTGAAAACAATTTAAAACAAAACTAAAATGGGTAGTCCTCGACGTCACAATTGCCGGCTGGTGGTGTTGCTGTTGCGTCGGGGGGCTGGGAGGTCGTTTATGGAGGTGGTTTAATGTTGGGGAAGTGAATGCCAGAGATTTGAAGTGTGCGGCAAATTTGGTTCATCAAATTGTTTTGGGTCATAATCTGAGACTACTGGGCATCACTTCAGGTCCACCACTTCAGATGTCAGCGTTTCGACCTCTTTTGTTCTTTGCCTGGAGGATGAGGCAGACGAGTCCAAAAGGTGGGCTTTCCCAAGCCCCCGGTGAACATTCCCATGCCGATGACCGAGGGTCTGATCGAGTGTGTCTGTCATGATTTGAAAACCAGCATCCTCTAGGGGAAACACCTCCTCGATCGAGGTCTCTAGGGGAAGCTGGGAAGCCACTTCCTCCAAAACGGTTTGGCCCTTCTCCACTATGGTGGACTAGAAAAATGAAATAAACAAATTAATTTGAATATACATGTAATTAATAATAATACTAATTGAATATTAGAAAATTGAAATAACTTACATGAGGCTGCTTTGTCAGCTCATCCCCAAGCCGAATGTACACCTCCTTAAACATGTCAATTTCAGGAAACTTTGACCCCCTAAAATAATTTAAAAAGTGTTAACATAGATTACCAATTGTGTAATAAAGAGTAAAAAGATTGAAAACTTAAAATAAATATACGATTACCTTACGTCGCTCCTCCAACCTATGAGAAGCATCATGAGCCGGATCGGTGAAGAAGTTTCTTCTTCGACCGATTGATCAAGTTTGCCTTCACTTTTTTCTGTTGAATTAAAAAAAAACGTAGTAGTTTAGATATTTATAACAAATGAATGAAAAAATGAAATTTTTATTTAAAATTGTAAATTTTTTTATTAATATATTATTGAAATATATATTATACGTACGAGGTATTTCTCTTCTTGAAAATGGTCGCAAATCCACTCCTATTCATCCCGACGGTCCACCAACTTTATAGGGCACCCAACTGCTAGAGCGACCTTCGGACCATCATATAGCTCATAATGCTTGTGAAGGTCGCTCTTCCATTTAGTGAACCTACCGAAGCAAAGGTCGTTGATGTACTGCATTT